ACTGATCACAAGCCCCTCGTCCACGCCTTCGCTTCAGCTTCCCAGTCACATACACCTCGTGTCCTGCGCCACTTGGCTTACATCTCAGAGTTCTCCAGCGACGTCCAACACATTAAAGGCAGCCACAACGAGATCGCCGACGCCCTCTCTCGTTGTATATCCAACATTCTTCCCTCATCTCCACCCATTGATTATGGGCAGCTAGCCGCGGCTCAAGAGAAGGACGAAGACCTGGCAGCATACAAGACATCCCCCTCAAGCCTCACACTCCAAGAACTCCCTGTTCCTGGCACAAAGATAAAATTGTGGTGCGACGTATCCTGTGGCCAGCCTAGACCGTTCGTGCCTCACGTCCACCGCCGCGCTGTTTTCGACCGCATCCATGGTCTCAGCCACCCGGGTGTGCGGGCCTCCCAGCGCCTCCTCACGCAACGTGTCGTCTGGCCCGGCATCAAGTCTGATACTAAGAAATGGGCTGCCCAGTGCCTGGCCTGCCAGTCCTCCAAAATACATCGTCACATACGGGCCCCCTTACAAACCTTCCCTATTCCCAAAGGACGTTTTCAAGTAGTACACCTCGACATCGTGGGACCTCTACCATCATCCTACGGTAGCACCTACATCTTCACCTGCATCGACCGTTTCACCAGGTGGACAGAAGCAATTCCCATGCCCAATGCTACAGCAGAGACTACTGTCCGCGCCTTCATGTCCGGTTGGGTTTCCCGTTTTGGCCCCCCCGCAACCGTAATCACTGACCGAGGAGTACAGTTTGAGTCACAACTCTGGCAGCACCTCCTACAGTTCCTCGGCACGTCTAGACAACGCACTACAGCATACCACCCTCAAGCCAACGGCATGGTAGAGCGTTTTCACCGGCAGCTGAAGGACGCACTCAAGGCACAGCACGACCCTTACAGCTGGACTGATGCGCTTCCCTTAGTGCTCCTCGGCATCCGTGCGTCACACAAGGAGGATATGGACTGTAGCCCAGCAGATCTTACACTAGGCGAGCCCCTTCGGCTACCCGGGGATTTCTCACTCCCTCCTGACCCTCACCAAACCACTCCAGCCGTTCGTCACGACTTACTCCAAAAGCTACGACAAGCAGTTTCTGCATTCAGAGCTACTGCTCCACGCCAGCCTCCTCGGCGCCCTGAACACATCCCTCCTGCACTACTCACAGCCGAGTATGTTTTCGTCAGGCGTGATGCTCATCGCAACCCATTACAACGCCCCTACGATGGACCCTTCCAGGTGGTTACCCGTTCAGCAAAGTTCCTGACGATTATCCGGAATGGCAGACATGACACCGTCAGCATAGACCGAGTCAAACCGGCCACCTTACCCGTCGGGCCCCCAGCCCAGCAGCACCATCAACAAACTACGCCTGCACCAGTCTACCCGCAGTTACCACCGGCAGCAACACCACGCCCACGACATTTCTGGGCACCCTCTTTTCACCCTCATGTACACCCTGTTCCTGCTGTAGAACCTGCTCCTGTCATAGACCCTCTTCCTATCATAGAACCTGAACCTATAATAGACCTCCCTCATGTCATAGAACCTGCTCCTGCCATGGACCCTCCTCCTGACATAGAACCTGCACCTATCATAGAACCTGTACCTATCATAGACCCTCCTCCTGTCATAGAACCTGAACCTGTAATAGACCTCCCTCCTGTCATAGAACCTGCTCCTGCCATGGACCCTCCTCCTGACATACAACCTGCACCTATCATAGAACCTGCTCCTGCCATGGACCCTCCTCCTGACGCAGCCCCTGCAGCAGCAGGAGCACAACAACCATTGCTTGTACAACCTCCTCTAATCCCAAACCCTCTTTCTCCTCCTAATTCTCCCACAGGTTTTGTGTCACTGGAGGGAGTTGTTACACGTAGCGGCCGAGTCGTACATACACCTGCCCGGTATGTGTTATGTGTGGGACACAACCCGGACAACATCCAGCCTCCCGCCGCGCCGGGAGGGGAGGGGGAGTATTGTAGTGGCTCCTCTCCCCTACAACTTCCAACTGAGCTCCGGCCGCACGCCGACCAGCCAATCAGCGTACAGCCAGCTACGCCGAGAGACTAGGTCTATGCAGAGGACGTAGGGGTACGATCGCCGACCTAGTCTCGACCATCAACCTCCAGTTCAGGATCAGAGCGTTTCACACCTTACGCTTGAGCCGCTGTGATTGGTCCTCTCGCTACGCGCACCCCAAATCCTGATCCTGGTAAATTGTATAAATACGGCCACGCCTGCCCAGGGAGGACATTCTACACTCAGCTACTGGACCAGCAACATCTCTCACAGCTCCTCACCTAGTCACTCCTAAGCACTGCGCTGTACAAACAATATATATACAGAAAGCGCATTGTGAGTTTCTATCCAACCTCATTCCTGAGTGAAGATATCTACATGTACGTACGTTTGTGTGCCCATACAAAGAGATAAATACAAAGAGATAATAGACAACTAAAGAGAATTGACAACTGGCCACATACAGTACGCTACAAAGTGTTCATAACACTTGAAAAACCATTAGAAAACAGTTTTGAATCTAATCTGGCCAACCAACCTAACCTAACTGGTACTTTTATAATTTCGGTCATGAGAGCAATGTTTAAGATTTTAAGTTTTGGAAAAAGTAGCTTTGATAATTCTAAGACACTTTTCTTCTATAGCATTTCTTCCACTCAAGATTACTTTCAGAGAAAATTGCAATAAATTGTTGGAAAATCATTGTATTTTTTCTGTTTTTGTTTACATTAACACCATCTGAGAGCTTTTGTGTGCTCATTTGTTGGTTAGAGTGCTGTATTCTGCATGTTCTAGAGTCTGACACATGCTCAGTTGTTCTTTGGATGTTGATACGTGGGTATGATTTTGGATCAACCAATCACAGCTCGGTATAGGCTTGAATTTCAATTTAGTTACATGATATCTTCATTATGCATTGGCTGTGATGTTAATTATTTCCAAGCCATCACCAGATTTCAAGTAGAATATTACAGTAAGGACAGAGAAGCATGGAAATTTCTCTGCCAACACGGTGCTTTGCCAACTGATGTAACCAGCTATAAGGCTGAAAAACATTGTCTGTGGAGGGATCTCAAGGAGTGGTTGAAGTGACCTGGCAACAAGTCCACCTCCTTCAAGCAGTACTTGGCGTGCTACATGTTTATTACGCAGTTCAGCGAGAACAAGCTTCTACATCAGTTCATCATCACTGCCAGCAAGGTCTACCCCCGCAGTCGGAGAAACGGGGGCCAGTGCGACCTTGGATGACGAGGAGGACCCCGATGACCCCAACTCCGGGTCTTCTAAGTCTAATTACGGTAAGCACACAGGTGGATAGGTTAGGTCTAGGGTTAGGTTTAGGGCAGATTAGGTTAAATTCGGTTAGGTTAGGGTGGGTTTTGGGTTATTCAGACCTTCATTTCTATTGCAAATTACTTTTTTTTTGTGCTTTTCCCTCACCCAAAACCCCTGGTTTCCACTGGGGTCCCCCATTATCGTTGGTTAAGGGGAGAAAGTATCTAAAAAATAGTGATTAGTTGTAGAAATGAAGGTAAGATTCGTTCATAATACATCAAAACCCATAAGAAAAACACAATTTCAACTTCCAACAATTTAGAAAAAATACGATGATTTTCTTTCTTTTGCGATTTTCTCTGAAAGTAATCATGAATGGAAGAAATGCTATTGAAGAAAAGTGTCTTAGATTGTCTGTACTGTACAATTGATTCCATAACTTAAAATCCTAAAAATAGCTGAATGACCGAAACGAACATTTTACTAAACCTAACCAGGGGGGATGGGCATGCCTCAACAATCGTTTTAGGCTTTGATTGTACCACCACCTATGAATATACATAATAAAATAATAAAATGCTAAATATTTCGCTTATACGTAATTAACGCCAGAACTGCCGTTGAAGAAAAGTCGGTAAATTTGCATAAGCGCACCCCACTCTGTTGGAAAGTCAAAAATATATTTTTCTAGTGTATTTGTGTGTGTTTAGACCGAATATGACCTTCATTTACGTCGGAAATTGGCCGGTTGTTTCTTATCAATTTGTTTTTGTGGGACGTTTTCCAAAAAATAATCATGGCTAAGAGAATAAAAAATACACCAAAAAACACTAGAAAAACAAAAACCAAACCTAACCTAACTGACTCTCACCATATGATGGAATCACCTATTTTTTACCTTATTGCCGTCTCTTCTTTGTCTTTAGGATATGGGACGAGTTAGGACAAAACCACATATGTTGGTTTTTGCGATATTTACATTCAGTCTTGCACTTATGACACTTTACTGAGGTCAGGAGAACACCACGCGATCGAAAAAATGCAACAGTTTCTTCGTTTTTCCCCAAAACTCGCAATCAGCTCCACATAATTTAAGTGACACCCATCACAGACTGCCATGGTCGGAAATGAATATGAATTTTGAAATATAAAAGACCCAAAATAAAAATCGATTTTGATTGGGCCAAAAATACTGCAAATTAAACCAAAATTCATTTTAATTGGTTGCAAAAAAAAACGCTTTTGATTGGCCGCATGACGTGTACGGGAAGGCATGAGGGTGATAATTTATGAAGGAGACCCTCAGTGTGGGGGGTGAGGTAGGCGATAATGGCGGAAGATTATTGGAAGAAATTGAGAAAATCTGGGATACGCTACCTCCGTTATTATACATTTGCGACAGTAATGTAATAGAAGAAAATTATCTTATAATTAGACGTCTTATTCGAATATGATAATAGACTAGGGATAGGAATGTGGGGTGCGAAAATGCAATAATACCGAAACGTCTAAGAATTATCAAAAGTATTGATTGTAACTATAACATTCCCGAGATTCGCTTACTGGCAACAAGTGAAATAACACCAAAACGAAGGTCAAAATCATCCCACACATCAAAAACCATCGGAAAAAACATAAATTCAACTATCCAAATAGATGGATGACCGAAACGATAATTTTACCTTTTTATTAGTGGTATGTCCAAGAGGTGTACTGCATCACTCCTCACCCTGCGACTTATTTTTCTAGAACATAAATAATTTTATTAAACTGAAGTCACATCTCTAAAGACCGACATGGACGGCTGATGCATAACTAATGTTGATATATTACCAGAAAGGGAAACGTTAAGCCATTCATGGGTCAATTATTATTAATGTAGAAGATAAAAAGTAAAATAATATAATTTTTTATGTCTAGTAAAGGTCAGTTACGGTTGGGTTATGTCATCTGGTAAATAGATGATGCAAATATTTTTTTCGTGGCTATTAGTTAACATGAGAGACTGAGAGGTACAGACGACACGGCTCAGCCACTGACAGTAGCGGTGAGAGCAGCGTCAGGAGGGTCGCTCAGGGGGTTAATACATCAGTTTTAAATTCTGCTTTGTTAAAATAGAATGGCAGTGTTAAATTACCTCAGAACTGCTTTGATACATCATAAGCACACGGTAAATAGAATATTAAGAATTGTTATGTTGTTATAGGTGTACCCTGAGTTAAGTGTCTTGTTAAGCATTATCAGTCAAGTACCCGCATAGAAGCTGCAGATGTTACGCAAACATTACAAAATGTATTTTCTTGTAAACACTTAAACGTCAGCTTGCTCACACTGGTGTTTTGTAAAAGTGACAGCTTTGGGTTGTGTTAATTATGGTTTTACTAGTACAGTATTTGAATTGTTCAATTAGTACAGCATTGGGAATGTTTGTTTGGCAGATGTTACAGATATCATTCCCAGTTGGAGTTGAAACTGCAATAATACCTGCATCTACACCTTTACTCATTTTAATTTTACATAGTGTCTATTAAGCCTGGTCTGACGGTAAAGTAGGTCGAGTGCTATTGATTTGGGTCACCTGGTTCACACACGCCTGTCCTTGTGGCATGTCAGGTCAGTCACCGGTCCGACTAATTACCCAAATGTACCCAAATATAGCCGCAATGAAGTCAAATAATGGTCCTACATGAATAAATCGGACTGCTAATCACTTCTCGACTAGTATTTGGTGTCAGAAAGTCACAAAAAATTGGAAAACTTACTTTAATCTGAGTTAATAGATCGCGTGCATGTACCGACGAAGCGAGGAATTACCCAAATGTAGCCAAATGTAGCCGCAATGAAGTCAAATGATGGTCGTACAAGCGTAATTCGGGCTGTGAATCACTTCTCAATTATTATTTGGTGTCATAAAGTCAAAAAAAATTTATGAACTTAATTTAATCTGAGTTGTGTTAGGTTAGATTAGATTAGATTAGATTAGATTAGGTACATGCACTTGATCTATTAACTCAGATTAAATGAAGTTTACCAATTTTTTGTGACTTCGTGACGCCAAATACTAGTCGAGAAGTGATTAGCAGTCCGAGTTATTCATGTAGGACCATTATTTGACTTCATTGCGGCTATATTTGGGTACATTTGGGTCCATTTGGGTAATTAGTCGGACCCCAGGTCACTTCCTGTCCTGACCCGACTCGGGGTTAGGTACTGACTATATCATTGATAGAAACAATAAACAACTCGCCTGTTTACAACTGAAGGCGGCTATTTTACCAGGTTACCCGGCTCAGAAACACTTCTGTAATTTTAATGATCATAATATTTCATGTGGTTATCATATTTGTTTTTAAGTTATTTATGGATGTGGAATTTATTACTTACGAAGGTAACTCATTCTGTGCATCAGTAATCTGATCCCACTATAGCTTTCGGTCTACAAAGATATTGTAGCATTGGCTATGTAGGAGATCTCGCACTAAGGGCCAATTGCAAGAACAGTTGTTGGGTGTACAACGCCATTTACGATGACCTTCTTGCCCTGGTCTTTTTACAGCAATATCGCCTTTAACGCATGGAATTCTGCACTTTTCGAAGCTTTGGAGGAGTCTCGAAACAAGTATCCTGGTGGGAATTATTAGCTAGTGCTGTACTCAAAATATTGAAACTTCGAGATCTCTCCAGAGCTTCAAAAGGGTGGTATAACTGAAACAAGATCAGGGCAAGAAGGTCATCGTAAATGGAGTCGTACACCCAACCACTGTTCTTACAATTGGCCCTAAGGATGGAGGTGAAAAGGGAAACTCACAATAATGGCGTTTGCTATAAATATATTATATGTATAAATGCAGTGCTAGGGAGTTGCTGTGTGGTGAGGAGCTTGTTGAGAGGAGGTCTTGTCTGTTTGAGAGCATTGAGTAAAATAATCTTCACGGCGAGGCTGGGGATATTTATATGAGTCCTCCGGAAGTGAACGGCGCTGCTGATTGGCTGAGGTCTAAGGCGAAAACTGGCCAATCACCGCGCAGTCTGAAAGGTAGGCTTAGTCTGAAGAACTCCGTGGGGTCGGCTGGTCAGCGACAAAACGGCAGTTGGCAGTTGTAGGGGAAAGTATCCACTACAATACTCCCCCTCCTCTCTAGGCGGTGCAGGAGACTTGTTGGCAGGGTTGTATCCCACATGTGAGATAACGGGCGGGGGTGTGAACCACTCGGCCGCTACGCGTGACGACTCCGCCTAGTGACACGAGATCTGTGGGAGAAGAAGGGGTGTAGATAAGAGAAGGTTGAACAGGTGAGGAATGTGGTACTGATCTCACGGCAGGTGCAAAATCCTCAGGGCCGCCGGGTGGGGTGTCTGGTCCATAGGGCCGAATGCAGGATCCTCATCAGGAGCAGTAGGTTGTGACGGACAGCAGGTGTGAAGTGGTCGAGGTCAGGAGTAGGTGAGAAGTCCCCGGGTAGGCGAAGGGGCTCGCCTAGGGTGAGATCTGCTGGGCTGCAGTCCATGTTGTCTTTGTGTGATGCGCTTATGCCAAGGAGCACTAAGGGTAGAGCATCCGTCCAGCTGTAGGGGTCGTGCTGTGCCTTGATGGCTTCCTTCAGCTGACGCTGAAACTGCTCTACCATGCCGTTTAATTGAGGGTGGTAAGCAGTAGTGCAGTGCCTGGAAATTCCAAGGAACTGCAGGAGACTATGCCAGAGTTGTGACTCAAACTGGACTCCTCAGTCAGTGATGACAGTCGTGGGAGGACCGAAACGGGAGACCCAACCAGAGAGGAAGGCGCGAACGGCTGACTCTGTTGCAGCATTAGGCATGGGAATGGCTTCTGTCCACCTGGTGAAACGGTCAATGCAGGTGAAGATGTAGGTGTTGCCGCAGGATGATGGAAGAGGTCCCACGATGTCGAGGTGCTCTACCTGGAAGCGTCCTTTGGGCACAGGGAAGGTTTCTAAAGGAGCCCGTGTGTGTCAATGTATCTTAGAGAACTGGCAGGCCAGGCACTGGGTAGCCCATTTCCGAGTATCAGCCTCGATAACAGGCCAGACGACACGTTGCGTGAGAAGGAGCTGGGAGGCCCGTACACCTGGGTGGCTGAGACCATGGATGCGGTCGAAGATGGCACGGCGGTGGATGTGAGGCACGAACGGTCTAGGCTGCCCGCAGGACATGTCGCACCACAACTTGATGTTCGTGCCTGGAACGGGGAGTTCTTGGAGGGCGAGACCTGAGGGAGATGTCTTGTATGCTGCAAGGTCCTCGCCTTAGCATTCTTCCCTCATCTCCACCCAGGGATGAATGCTGGATATACAATGAGAGAGGGTGTTGGCGATCCCGTTGTGGCTGCTCTTGATGTGTTGGATGTCGCTGGTGAACTCCGAGATGTAAGCCACCTGGCAAAGAACACGAAGTGTATGTGTCTGGGAGGCTGAAGCGAAGGCGTAGACGTGGGGCTTGTGATCAGTGAAGATGGTGAACTGACAGGCCTCGAGGAAGTGCTGGAAATGCTTGACAACAAGATATATGGCCAGGAGCTCTCAATCGAAGGTGCTGTACTTGAGTTGAGGTTGTTGAAGCCGCTGTGATAAGAAGGCAGTGGGCATGAGAGTTCCGTTGATCTGTTGTAAGACGGCGCCCACGGCAGTAGAAGAAGCGTCTGTTGTGAGAGTGGTCCGGGCATTGGGGGCAGGGCGAGCCAGCAGGGTAAGGAGTGTGATGTGCTGCTTGATAGTGATGAATGCTGTAAAAGCCTCTTGAGTGCATATGAGAGGCTTGTGAGACGTCTTAGGGAGTCCCTTGAGAAGATGGTGGAGAGGAGCGAGGATGTTAGCAGCCTGGGCAATAAAGCGGTGGTAGTAGTTGACTAAACCTAGGAATTCTCGGAACTTTTTCACTGTTTCAGGTTTGGGGAACTCCTTGATGGCAGTTACCTTCTGTGATAGGGGTTGGATGCTGCTCGACCAGACTCTGTGACCGAGGAAGTCGATGGAGGAGGCTCCGAAGACGCACTTGGCGGGATGAACTTTTGTGTTGTTGTTCTGCAGGCGTTGGAGAAGGAGCTGTAGGTGGTGATGATGCTTGGCAGGCGTTGGAGATGTGACGAGAATGTCGTCTATGTAGACAGTGACAAAGTCGAAGTCGTGAAGCATGTGGTCCATGTTACTGACAAGAAAGTGAAACTAATTTATGGCTCTAATTCACTAGTCACCTAGTTCCAGACATACGATAGGACATGATGATGAATCCTTCATTTCAGGAAATTATTAAATTATTAGCCAGGCTTATTGATAATTTCAAGATCATGATGGCATTGTTGAATTTCAGCTCATGATGGAGGTTTTGAAGGGTCATGGACTTAGATATGCATCATTACTACACCAAGAGGCATACATTGGAGGTAAATGGGTGTCTGCAGCGAGTGGCAAGCTGTTTCCCGTCACTAATCCAGCCAATAGCAAGGTTTGTGTTTTATATATGAAGCAAGAGTTTATGCTGTCGTGGTTAAACCATCTCTACCTGCCTGTACACGAAACTTTTCCAATACTGTACTTTCAGTACCTAGGGTTTCCTGTCTTTCAGTGTCACATTGCACATCAACCTCACCATTCTTATAGCAGCTTGCACAAGCCTGTGTATGTCATCTTTAACCATTAATGTTTCATTGCTATACTGTATAACATCACATTTCCTTCACCAGTTTCACGTTTCTTTCCTTTCACTTGGAGGGAAAGTCCTCTAGTCGTCAATAAAAGCAGCAACTCCCTAAACTTCCTCCAGCCACTTCTGATTTATGCAACTGAGCTAGCTTCAGCACACCCTCCAGCGCTGATCATATCACCTAGATACCAAACTCATTGACACAGTCCAGGAATATATCTAATGTTGAGTTTCTGCAGCCTTGCTAGACCATGTAATGTGGTTACCTGTGCATACAGGACATTCAAAGTCAGCAACATCCTTGGTATAAATAAAACATACTGTATTGCATATAATTTTAGTCATGATACCTGTAGTTGTAAGATATGCACAAATAATACAGTATTGGTGAAATTACAGTACAGTAGTACCCCGCTTAACGCGGTCAATAAAACCCACAGGGTACCGTGTGTTAAGTGAAAACTGCGCTAAGTGAACAACAGAACATATGAGATTAATTCCAATAGAAACTGGCCCGACCCCCAAACTCCACTTTTCCCACACAATACCTATGTTCTAGAAAAATAACATCTTAATTTTATGATGGTACATGCACACAATTAATACTTAAGAGAAATAGAGAAATACAGTCGCCAAGTTAATGTTCATTCAAATAATGGACTCAACTCCTCCCCCTCTTCTCACACTACACTGCTGGCTCTTCCCTCTGAGAAATTTTGGGGAAAACCACTAAATTTTAATAAATAATACCTCAAACTAAAGTTAGGATAATATAATTGACATTGCTGATTCTTGTAAGACTAGGAATATTTTGAATATAAATGTCATATATTTTGCACAAAAGATAACATATTTACTCAGAGTAAACATTACATCTAAAATTTGTATGTCTAATGCAAAATCTATGATGTTTATATTCAAAATGATCACCAAATTGTAAGAATTCCAGCAATGTAAAATTATAGTCTGGCCGGGTAATTTGTATGAATTTTATGAGCTAAAACAAATATCTTCAGTTAAACAAAAAATATTCTTCACTACACTCATCTGTCAATCAAAGTACCCCACCTTGCCTCCCCTCTTCCAACCACGGGTCCGTCCCAACCTCCCCACCCCACTAATCCTGAGTCATGCCGAGGACCAACTACCCACATCATGGACCAGCAGTATGTTGTAATATCAAACCAGGGACAGCCTGATGCCTGGCCCCATATCACTAACCAGCTGCCCATGTAAACCTTTGGAGAGGATGGTTCTGGCAGACTTTATATAGAATCAGAGAACACATGTCTCCTAACATAATGGCTTCACCCATGGTAAAGGGTGTACATAATTGCATCACCCTAACTGTGCATGGTGATGAAAGGCGACTAGCACCATATTTTTGACCTAAAAGTTGCATTTGATATTGCCAATAGGCAACTGATAGATAAATTTAGCCAAAATGGATATAGAGGTAGGGTTATTGTTACTTGGCTAAGTGTTACCAACCAACAGGAAGGGCTGTGGTTGCACTGCTCAGGGTTACAAAAAAGTGAAGCTAAAGATAAAAAATTTGGTACCTCAAGGTGAGTACTTTAGCCCCACTTTGTTCAATGTTCTTATGAATGCATTACAATTTGTAATACCAGATAACCCCAGCACAGTCCTCAATCAGCTATGCTGATGATATTCTTATACATACTAAAAACTCATCGCGGAAATGCAAACCACCTGAACCATGTATACGCAGCCTGTGAACACTTCGTCTTTATTATTCCACTGACAAACTAAGGTGTTCAACAAACAAGCTGGTAACCAAAAGAACGCCGCCCCGCCAAGCTCAAGATAGGTAACAACACTATTGACTATGTTTTAAATATCTTGGTGTTTCATCCCTTGAAATCTCAATTGCCATACAACAGCTAACCCGCTAATGTACTGACAGACTGAGACCTTAGAAGTGAAGCGGGTACAGCCCGCAAGACTATGGTGCTAATATTAGAATTGTTAAACAATGTACCCACGCTTATATAAGATCTCTGATAGATTACCACGCGAACAGCCCTGGTCTCTTCGCGGACGGGAAAGGCGCTGACAAGCTTGAGAAAATGCAAAATAAAGCCCTCGTGAATTATCCTAGGATGTCCCATGAGCACCAAAAAGTACTTAATATGAGGAAAAAAGAACTAGGTATACCCAGTGTTAAAGATAGAATAACACTGAAGTCAACCTCATGATAGCCCTGAGGCTTGCATGGTGATCCTGATAACATTGTTTCCTTAAAATTGCTAGAAATGTATGAACTATGGACTACTGAGTCTAAATGGATCCAAACTACAGCGCCACACATATGAAGATGTTTTGGACAGACCACCTGCACAAAGTTGAGACACAACAGTTTTTTTTTTTTTTTTTTTTTTTTTTCCTGCCACCCTGACGACAGTTCCCTTGATATCACAATACCTATCGATCCGCCAAAAAATTAATTATATAAAGCATTTATCTCCAACACACTGCCAAATTGAGAGCTCTTGAACACATACACACTCTACAGGACTGATAATATTGGTCACACAGACCATCTGGTACACTGATGGATCTCTAAACACCGCCTGTGGGAGGGCTAAAGTGCATACAGGACTAACCTGACGGGTAATATGCATCTGAGAAAGGAGCAATCAACAACTGGCATCCACTCTACAAACCGAATTAGTTGCAATACTCACAGCTATTAAATTCATTGAAACCACTGTTACTGACAGCTCCTACTATCACTGACTCTTCTCACTACTTGCCCTTGGTACCTACCAGGCTGTTTCTTGTCTCTGAAGCCACACAAATATGCGTGTCTTGTTGACCGGGTGTCAGGTCAAACTGTTAGGATCCCTCTCACATAGGCCTCATAAAACAACAGAGTTGATGCCTCGCTAAAACTCACAAGGCCTAACAAAGACACCTTGAATAATCATTCGGTCAAAAAGAACCCTTAAAACTGTAATTAGGGAAAGAACTTATTACGATGGACTGGCAGACAAGTGCTGAGTACTATCGATCCATAGGGAAATACCATGATGAGATGTATCAAGTGAAACATGTATAGAGTTAGTAACAAGATCAATAGATTACAAGATGTTGTAACCGCTAGATTAAGGTTAGATATATACCTTTACGTATGTTCTCATGATGTAAACAAACTATTGTAAGTGTAATATACATATGGCCACACACTTAAACACTACGCCCGACTGTGTGAAGATAGAACCTTTAGGGACAGGTCCAAGCACACTGTGTGTGAAATGGCACAACACTTCATCTCAATGGCAAGATAGCCGACATATTAAGATTGTATCCCTTCTTTTTTGCACTCTAAAGTAACTATATCAATTTCGCCACAGAACCAACACAAAGAATGCATGAATACCCCACGAATAAATGTGATAACAAAGTGAAAACAGGATGGATAATGCCACCTACCACCAAGATTTGTGAATACAATTTTATGTATAGAACCAACAGTCAAATGAAATATCAGGCAACTCTCAGTGCCATAATATCCCGACCACGGGGTTAATTATTATGACCCTTTGTAAACCCTAATTTGTAATCCTTTTGCGCCACCGCCACAGGGGATTGGCGTGGGGTGCATTAATAAAGTAGTCAGCTGCAAGCGCAAAATCAAAATCAATCCTCTAAGAGATGTTGGGTGAAAAACTAAATTTTAACATTTAGTATTAAATAATACCTCAGAATAAAGTTAGGATAATATAATTGACATTGCTGGATTCCTTGTAAGACCAGGAATATTTTGAATATAAATGTCATATATTTTGCACAAAAGATAACATATTTACTCAAGAGTAAACATTACATCTAAAATTTGTATGTCTAATGCAAAATCTATGATGTTTATATTCAAAAGGATCATCAAATTATAAGAATTCCAGCAATGTAAATCATATTCTGACCGGGTAATTTGTATGAATTTTATGAGCTAAACAGGCAGGCAGGCAGTCAAGCAGGGTGGGGGGTGGGGCTTAATCTAAAAATAGCTCGAGCCGACACGGCGCGATATGTGGAAAAAGATATAGAAATATTTGGCGAGGCACTGTGTATAATGCGAATGTAAGTGGCTAAAAACCGCAGTTGCTGGGTATTACTGTACAGTGAACCTCGCTTACGCGTTTCTACATTTACGCGGTACCCTGCCAGAACCGGAATTTCCACTTTACGTGGTGCATCTACTCATATACGCAGGTGAAGTATAATTTTTTATTTAACTCGTAAAATTCATACAAATTATCCGGCCAGAATATAATTTACATTGCTGGAATTCTTACAATTTGATGATCATTTTGAATGTAAGCATCATAGATTTTTGCATTAGACATACAAATTTTAGATCTAATGCAAGTATTTTGTTTACTCAGAGCAAATATGTTATCTTTTGTGCAAAATATATGAAGTGTATATTCAAAATATTCCTGGTCTTGCAAGGAATCCAGCAATGTCGATTATATTATCCTAACTTTAGTCTGAGGTATTATTTATAACTAAAAATGTAAATATACTGTTATAACCCAATCATTTCTCTGGTAGGGAGGAAAGGTGGGGGTAGGGAGGGAGGGAGGGACCCAGGGTAGCAGGTGGGAAGAGGGGGGGTAGGTGGGGTATTTTGATTGACAGATAGTATTTCGGTAAGTATATTTTGTTTATTTATTGAAGATATTTGTTTTAGCTCATAAAATTCATATAAATTACCGGGCCAGAATATAATTTACATTCCTGGAATTCTTACAATTTGATGATCATTTTGAATATAA